AGTATGTATATTATTTAACAAGAACGATGTCATGCACCCTCAACTACTGGTGTGTCAAGCTTCTCCAACCTTTTTGCTTCATGTTTGTTAGTTCCTCGTTCTTCCTCGTACGTACATGACTTATATACATTAAATAGTAATCCTCTCTCGATTTTCACAGGTTTACAGAAACACTCTGGAGCAAAAGCATCTGCCCCCCCCCCCCCTTGTTCTGTGTGGAGCTGGATGCAACAAGTGCCAGTTTCACAGGTACCCTCTAACATTAGGACACTATGATATACCTCTCGAACATCGAGCGAGGCGAGGACTCTTTAAAGTTAGAGACATCTATGATATACACTCTGAACATCGCCAGGAGAGGTGAGGACTCTTTAAAGTTTGAGACTACAAACTGAGTATACTCCTGAACATCAGCAGGAGAGGACATCTTTAAAGTAGTAGACACTACAATACTGATATACCCTTTTTTAAACTGACATCTGTCTCTCGGGTGAGAGAAGCGTCTTTCACATGTAGAGACACCAGACATACTAATATGATACATTGATATCACTCTGAAACATCAGCAGGAGGAGGAGGGTCTTTAGAAGTTAGGGGGGGGAGGGGGTGGTGTTAGGCTCACTACAATATAGACATAATCAATATAACACACTCGAGCATAACATGAGAGGACATATCTTTTACACACGTGTAAGAGTGTAACACTTACATATATCAGTATAAATCTACACCTGACATCCGCCGGAGGCTGACTCTTTAGAAGTCGAGCATTGTCATTATACATAACCTTGTTCTAATCCTTTAAAGCTACTCAGGTACCACTTACTAAATGCGGACTTAATTTAAAATGTAATAACACATTTAAATTCGAATAGTAACACACTGGAAACTATTCAGACTGGCAACAGAGGAGAGGCTCTCTGCTATTAATTGAAGGATGGATGAACTCAGCAGTAAGAAGACAGCGAACAATTAATGAGTACTCTCTGGCTTCTCTCTGTTATTTTCGAGGTATCCCGCTTCTACAGGGAACAAGACTAGAATGTGGCAGATACGTCCTGAGTCACTCTCGGCTGTTTGAGCAGCGCGAGGACGACCACATGGCGCAGATATACTTGAATACAGCACTCGTTACATATTACGCATGGAGGCACGGCAGCTGGGACAACTGGGAGTACTCTTGTGCGTAACACCTGAGGGCCGGCAGTGCAGGCGCTCCGGAAACGGGCCTGTGTCGCCCTCGATCTCTCGTCTTCTCGTCTTATCTCCGCACAGCACGCACGCGCACAGACAGGCACCGAAACCGACACACAGCTCTCTCCAACTACGAGCAATCTCACAGACAACTACAATCAGCACTCGACACTCGCTATTCTCTCTCCAACAGCACAGACAATCCTCTCTCAGTGGCAAGACTATCTAACAGACGACTAGAGCCCACACTCGCTGAGAATGATAATACTGTACGTCTGTAATATGATTTTTAGCTGGTGAAAATGTAATGTTTCTTCGCACTCATACTACTTGCTATATGTGTGTGTGTGGTGCAATGTCGTTGTCCCGAAATACCTGTGCGGTTTTGCTTCATCGTTTGTAGTTTGTTCTCCTCGTACTACATAATATACATTAAATACTAAATACCTCTCTCATTTCACCAGGTCCTTCAAAAACACTCTGGAAAGCAAAAACATCTGTTGGAGCTGCTGCAAGACAAGGGTTTCACAGGTATCCCTCTTAACATAGAGACCAGCTATGAATATACACCTGAACATCAGCAGGAGAGGACTCTTTAAAGTAGAGACACTACACACTGATATACACCTGAACATCAGCAGGAGAGGACTCTTTAAAGTAGAGACACTACATATGATATACACCTGAACATCAGCAGGAGAGGACTCTTTAAAGTAGAGACACTACAACTGATATACACCTGAACATCAGCAGGAGAGGACTCTTTAAAGTAGAGACACTACATACTGATATACACCTGAACATCAGCAGGAGAGGACTCTTTAAAGTAGAGACTCTACATATGATATACACCTGAACATCAGCAGGAGAGGACTCTTTAAAGTAGAGACACTACATACTGATATACACCTGAACATCAGCAGGAGAGGACTCTTTAAAGTAGAGACACTACATACTGATATACACCTGAACATCAGCAGGAGAGGACTCTTTAAAGTAGAGACTTTACATACTGATATACACCTGAAAGAGTGTGTTCTGCATCTCACTCTCCCCTCCTCTCTGAACCCACAGTGACATCGAGGAGAAGTCGATGATCTTGTCTCTGAAGCAGACCGAGTCTCTGTTTAAGCCGCGACACATGAGCAGCTTCTTTACCGCGGGGGGTGCAGGAGTGAGTGGAGAGCCCGGTGACTCTCTGTTCAACAAACTGAAGGAGGAGCCGGATGAGCTAGCCCAGCTGGCGCCAACACCCGGAGACACCATCGTCACCCTGGACTTTGGTATGTATCTGCTGTAATCACACGATGGCGTCATTATGATTATAAGCAATTATACCCTCTTCTTCGACCGGTATTACAGTTAGACAACCGATACTACAGTATAAGATACGATATGGTACGACACAAAACAATATGATACTATTCAAACCTATACGATAAGAAACAACATAGGTCTCTGCGCTTCAATACGATAATATACAATATTAAAACACAATACATTTAACTGAATGTGTTTCGCCTCTCTCCTGCAGATTGCCCTGCGTTCGAGGAGCCTCGGCATCCTGGAGGATACACCCAGGTGTCGGCTGCAGCTATGCCCCTTCCTGGGCCTCCTTCCTGGGCCATCGAGAGCCACAAGCTCTCCCCCCCGGCACCACTTCATAGAGAAATGTCCAACATGGTGGGACCGTTCACCGTTCATCAGAATCCTCCTCCAGCCAGCAACACCCCCAGCCTGAGCAGCTGCTCCACGGTGAGACCCTGACCTTAAACAGGAAGCAGGAAGTAGTTAGTGAGCGAGGACTGGTTGTGTTGGTTTGTTCTGTTTTCAGCCAGGCCATTTGGGGGGTGGAGGTCAATAACTGTGGGCACTGTGTGTGAGAATAATGTGGGAGGATATTTGGAAAGACCAGACTCTTAGCAGTGAATAGTGCCTTTGTTCAAAATAATCTCTTTGTTTCCGTCATTAACTTTCTCTTTACACTCTTACGTGTCGCCACTACAATGCTACCAACATTCATACCTCCCTACCTTCCTACCTACCTACCTACCTACCTACCTACCTACCTACCTACCTACCTACCTACCTACCTACCTACCTACCTACCTACCTACCTACCTGCCTACCGACCGACCGACCGACCGACCTACCTACCCTACCTACCCTACCTACCCTACCTACCTACCTATCTACCTACCTACCTACCTACCTACCTACCTACCTTACCTACCTACCTACCTACCTACCTACCTTACCTTACCTACCTACGTACCTTACCCTACCTCCCTACCTCCCTACCTCCCTCCCTAACTTACCTCCCTACCTACCTACCTACCTACCTACCTACCTACCTCACTACCTCCCTACCTCCCTACCTACCTACCTCACTCCCTCCCTACCTCCCTACCTGCCTACCTACCTACTTACCTACCTACCTACCTACCTTACCTTACCTACCTACCTACCTACCTACCTACCTACCTATGATGTAGGCTCACTTGTTCTAATGTGCAACTGATTTCAAGTGTCCTTTTTCAAGTGTCTTGCATTTCTTCCTAGTTGAGGTTTTGTCTCTCTCACGCAGGAGAGGACTCTTTAAAGTAGAGACACTACACACTGATATACACCTGAACACACTACATACTGATATACACCTGAACATCAGCAGGAGAGGACTCTTTAAAGTAGAGACACTACATACTGATATACACCTGAACATCAGCAGGAGAGGACTCTTTAAAGTAGAGACACTACATACTGATATACACCTGAACATCAGCAGGAGAGGACTCTTTAAAGTAGAGACACTACATACTGATATACACCTGAACATCAGCAGGAGAGGACTCTTTAAAGTAGAGACACTACATACTGATATACACCTGAACATCAGCAGGAGAGGACTCTTTAAAGTAGAGACACTACATACTGATATACACCTGAACATCAGCAGGAGAGGACTCTTTAAAGTAGAGACCAGGACGCTCGATGTCAGGGGCACAGGGAGACTTTGCCGTCACCCCTAGAGCTCGTCGACTTAATATAGTAGTAAATAAACACTCAAACTTGTTTTTTTTTGTCATCTCCAGCTCGAAACTCAGCACTTAGACTGGGCCAGCCGTGTTCGACGAAAAGTGTGTGTGTGTTTGTGTGTTTTGTGGTGTTGTGTGTGTGGTTGGTGTGTGTCGTGTGGTGTTGTGGTGTGGTGTGTGGTGTGTGGTGGTGTGGTTTGTGTTGTGTGTTGTGTTTTGGTTTTTTTGTGTGTGTGTGGTGTGGTGTTGGTGTGTGTGTGTGTGTGTCCAAAATCATATTAATTGAATATTTGGGCGACCACTCGAGACAGATAGTAGTAGTTAGCCGAAGTAAAGTATTAGTATTTAGAAATATGTCCAAAAATATCATTGTACAATAAAATAAATAAACTGTACAAGATGTAACAAGGTTTATATATGGATGTTAATAAACAAATTAGATCCATAGGTAAAAAATTTGAGAAGATGTAACTAAGAGGACTTATCAGATCGAGAAAATATTTACAGATTATAAAGAAAAAGGAAGTAAAAAAGATTGTAAAATTGAAATAAAAAGTATAAAAAAATAGAAGTTACAAGGTGTTCTTAAGGATAAAAAGTTGTAAAGCGTATGTAAAAATAATTAAGGGATAAAGTATCTACAACAATATACAGGATGTCAGTCAAAATTCTGCATCACCAAATCAAAACACCAACATATATAATTATGACCAAGTATCACTTCCAGACAAGACGGGATTGGAGTCAGTAACCAGCTGTCGTCTCCCTCCATTTCACAGCACACACACACCACACAACACCACACACACACACACACACACACACACACACACACAAAACACACACAAACACCTGTACTTGTCGCAGCAGACACACCAGTGTCACACAAACAGAACAAACTTTGGGGGCCCGCTGTCGTCGGACGTCAAGGCTAGTCTCAGACTCTGTTCTGGGCTAGTTGTGTCTGTCTACCTCCGTGTCCTGGAGATATGAAACATTATCGTCACCAAAGAGTGGACCAACCCAGCACTTGTTTCACCAGCGTTCTGGGCAAACTCACCAAGCGCCTACACCAGTCACTTCTTTCTTTACTCCCCCCCCCACCCCCCTTTCAGTTTGAAAATAAAACTTCCGGCTAAGATTGCGACACGTACTCAGCCGCAACTGACCTTCATCCTCTGTAGTGCCATAACTTTGGAGACAGTGCACACTATAGAAGAGTATTTATAAAAAACGACTACAAAAAAAGCTCAGAAAACCGGTAGTCTTGTCTAACAACGCCTCAGGGGGTGCCTCCTTATTGAAACGCCATTCTTAAAGAAATATGAGGTCCCCATATGTAAAGTCTATTTACTTGTCTATTACTTAATTACTGGGCCAAACTACTAACCTTCCAAAGTCTGTTACCCCACGATGGGAATGGGTTAATTCATAAGTGTGGCTGTTTTAATGTTGTTGGTTACAACCCACGCTAAACAACTGGTTCATTGTTTCACCCAGGGCTCGGACTGGTTCAAACTCTTGGGACGAAATTTCTCAGAGAGGACGACCACAAGTCCACATATAGTCACACATCACCAGGAGATAAATTTCTCAGGAAGACGACTAAACGTCCCACATATATCATACATCACAGAGATGAAATTCTCAGGGAGAGGACGACTACAGCCACATCATAGCATACATCAACAGGAGATTGAAATTTCTCAGAGAAACAAAGGGAAGGAGACTTAAGAACCCAACATATAGTCATACATACAGAGATAAAATTCTCAGAGCAGGACGACTACAAGTCCACATAAGCATCAATACAGAGATGAAATTCTCAGAGAGACGAACTACAAGTCCACATATATCACTAATCACAAGAATGAAATCTCAGGATAGGACGCTACAAGTACACATATAGCACACCCTCACAGAGATGAAATTCTCAGGAGGGGACGACTACAAGTCCACATATAGTCAACATCCACAAGATGAATTTCCAGAGAGGATGCGGACGCTAACAGTCCAAATATAGTCATACACACCATGAAGATGAAATTTCTCAGAGAGGACGACTACAAGTCCCAACATATTTAGTCATACATACAGAGATGAAAATTTCTCAGGAGAGACGACTACAAGTCCAACATATAGTCAACATCACACGAGATGAAATCTTTCAGAGAGGACGCACTACAAGTCCCACAATATAGTCAATACATCACAGAGATGAAATTTCTCAAAGAGGACGACTAAATCCACAATATAGTCACACATCACAAGGATGAAAAATTCTCAGGAGAGGACGACTAAAGTCCACATATGTCATACAATCACAGAAGATGAAATTTCTCAGAGAGGCGACTTCAAGTCCAACATATAGC